TAGGGAAAGTTGCCCACTGGATCCTAAACATATTTTTCAAACATTTTTCATCATATTCCTTTTCATTCTAAAGGATATCATAGATTTTTTAAATGTCCTTTTTTTACACAGGTATTTAAAAGTAACACTTAAAATGTATCTGAGAATAAACATTTTTGCATTTGCTTTTTGCATTCAATGACAGAATTCCTTGATGAAGTCAGTTTTCATTTGGTCTTTATATCTTGTTTAAATTCTGCCATCCTCCATGGATCTTTCTCACATAGTGAAGAAATAAATACTAAGTTGTGCGATACTGGCTGTAAAGCCACAAGCATTGACAAGGCCACTAATGTACAGGTTCAGATTCTTGAGTTAATTTCATTTTTATAGCCAAATTTTGAAGATTTGTTAGTCTATTAGTTAGTCTGTTAGTTTAAGGATATATTTCCTGTCTACACAGATCTCCAAAGTCTCTTTCTAAAAAGAATCATTTCAAGTAATATTAGTAGTGAAGCAAAATACAAGTTCTCTATTCTGTCTTGACTGATAACAACAAAATATTGGTAAAATTTACATTTACTTTAGTTTGCCACATCTTCCCCTAGTATCAATACTGATAATGGAAAATACCAGGAATCTCTCCCAAAGCAATGCGACATTTTAAACAAAAGAAATATTATCAACATGACCACTGTAGCAAAACCAACTGTAGATTCCTGATGCTGACTTCTGAATTAAGTTTAAAGTAACAGAGCAAAGTTGCTTCCAACCCAAAGAGACTGAAATAAAGATATTTTGCTTTTCAGAATGCCTTAAAGGCACGTTATGCATGGAGGCATTTGAGTGTTTAAACATTAAAGTAGATAAAGGCAAATACTTAAGGCTTTGCGCTATAGTCTCTTCTCTGACCAAAGCCTGTCACTCAGTTCAAATGGCCATTTTGCCCTCACACAGCCTGTGCTATCAGGCCTATAATTCGGTGTCAATAAAGTCTTCCATTTGCAAAGCCAAAAGGAAGCTGGAATGTAGCTTGAGTTTCACGTACAAAACTATACAATTTGTGTTAGAATACAGATTTGAAAATTGCTTTCAAAAAAAATATTTATATATAGGGAATGAACAGTGCAATACCAGTTGGTTGTGTGAAAATCTTACCTTGTCTTTCTTCAAATGTATTTAAAGAAAAGCTCTCCAGTTTTATAGAGAATAAAATAAAAAGGGATAAATATTTCATGATGGGAAGCAGATCCCACAGCATTCCATGCAGATCTCCAAGCAATCTGAAGATTCACAACATGCGTCCATTATGCCACAGTCCATATCACATGGGCAGTTACAGTCATCCCCCATCTCGTCCCCACAGCAACAGCAGCAGGCCTCCGATGTGCAGACGCCACAGGATGCTTGTCCCAGAACAATGTTACAGAGGGTGAGAAATTCACAGAACAAGCAAGCCAGGATACAGTGAACACAGCAATCTTCATACGTACCAGGTCAGTAGAATTTCATGTACGACCAAAAAAAACAAATAAAAAGGAAAGAAAAAAGAAGAAATAATTAATATGTTATTCTAAACCTAGATATACCACAATGTCAGCTAAGTGGCTGAAAAACAATGATTCAGAACAGACATAATCGAACACTGCAAAGAACGTGTTTCCCGTCTTCAAGGCCACTTTTGCAGCCTAACTTGTCTCCAAATCACTACTGGTTTTGGTGCAAGTTTCCTTTCACCACTTCACACATATCCAAAGTACTAAACATCTGCTTAGATCCATTTCTCCAGTCATTTATGATGTAAAATATCTGCATCTGTTATCTTCAGTCGTAACTTCTTTCAGCAGATGCACAAAGTGATTAAAAAATAATTTAAAAAATCAGCTTATGAAGCAAACTATCTAAATTAATTTCTGGCCTCTCCCAGTGCATCTCGCCCTTCTGAATCTGTTTTGTTGGCTTGTTACTTACGAAGAAAAATAAGGGAGTTGCTACAACATTTTTGCTTTCTTTATAGTTTTATGCACACCTTAAAAGCAGCATAACAGCATGGTATATGTATTTCTGTACTTTCAACAATATGTAAAACATTCAGTCAAAACACAGATTTTACTATTGCTTTTCTACACAAATCTCTCAGCAATCCTTTTCATGTACTACTTCAATCTTCACTAGAGTTCATAAGTGCACCTGAACATCAATACCCATCTCCCACAAGTACCACTAAACTACATGAGATAATTGAGGTGTCCCACAAACTGACTGCAAAACATATGGCACCCAAAGAGTAAATACATGGAATCACTTCAAACAATTAATGCATCCATGAGACATGACAGGAAAACACAAAGATTGGAACTAAACATGTGCCAGTGAAAAGCAGACTGCAGGAGTGAGGGATATACTCACTCTCCTCCCACAGTAAGCATATAACGTATAAATTTATATGTATAAACACATCTAATTTGTAAGAGGCAGTGAACAGTCATCCAGCAAGAAAACGAAAACTTAGAAATAGAGGAAATGTTCAGTACAGAGAATTGTTCTTTCCTAGCCCCAGCCTTCATCCATTTTTTTTACTGCTTGCAAGCCCTGAACTCCTTTAGCCACAGACAGCTGAAGACTGGGAAAATGTTCTGGGGAAAATACCCTGCACCATCTCATCCTCTCCCTGTCCCTGCAGTCTGTCACAGGTATCCGCTGTGAGAAAAGACAGGATATTGAGCTACGTGGGCATTTGGCCTCACCATCTACACACGTTATGTTCCTACAGTTCACAAGCTGGAGACTGTTACCACAGGGAAAAGCTTGCAATTACTTCCAACAGTAACACAATTACCAGGCCTCCTAAACATATTTATAATGTCAAAAATGATGCACTAACTGTGGCAAGTATCCTGACTGATTTAAAGTACCTCTAACACTGCAGAAACTCTGACTGCAGGTTAGTGTAGAGATGACTTTACACCAGCAAGCACGAACTCTTACAGCCATGCAGCCACAGACGCTCAGACCCGCAAAACCTGTCCCGAGAAGCCAAGAAACTACCTGAGCTCTTGGCCTACTCTAAATATCGCACTGCTGGGGACTGATTTCTCCTACTTACTGCACTGCTTGGATCCAAATTTAGCTTGGGAATACCTGTACTGCAATGTGATCACAGTTATAATACACACAATGAATACTTATGGCCAAAAGACAAACATGGAAATATCAGGAAAAGCAAGAAGGAAAAAAAAGAAACAACCTCAAAAACTTCCTATTACTGTGCAGGAAGCAAAACTGAGAGGAAACTACAGGTAAGATTGAGCTGTTTTTAAAGATCATTGTTGCTTGTATTAAAAGGCTGTTTTTCTCAAAGAAATACCACTAAATACTAAATATATGACCTTCACAGAAAACCCCGAAGATATGTGAAATAAAGCTGGGGAGTATCAGTTCACTGAAGAGGACCAAAGCCAGACCGATAGCGATTAATTAGCTGGTTGTCATGGAGATGGTGTTAAATTTGTTCAGGTACAATCTCCTTTCAGATTTTCTTTTAATATAGAAGGTAAAACATAAAGAAGCCAAGAGTTCTATCCCAGAAGCATTCATATTTGAGGAACCGAGGTTTTTACCATTTTGCATCTTTAAAACACAGCTGAAAGAAGCTAATACTGCAACAAATTTTGTTCCACAAATGTTTTTTAAACAAATCACAATAATGAAACTTTATGTGTATCAGTATTGAAAATAAGATGCTCAAAAAAATCTTGTGTGCTTCATACAGAGATATGTAAAATTGTAGAGAGAGAAATAAATATTCACAAAATTACAACTTACCCCTCCTAATCTAAAAAAACCACTAAATCAACACTTACAAGGAGAGGCTGTGTTGATTTAAATAACGGTATTTCAAAGGTAAAAGCTATCAAAAATGATCCAAGGCACAGAAAGAAATTTTGACCATTAGTGCTATGATGGAAACTCTGTGGAGGGTCTTTCCTTCCATCTTCTCTTCACTGACTGAAACACTAAAAGGATTTATCTACCTACTGTTTATTTTTATTTCCTTCTCCTCACATTGCAAAACTAATTTTCCATTTGGAAAATATTTATATAATGATTTTACTTAACCTATACAAACACTTAATGTAAAGCAGAGATACCCTTTACTGCTCTCTTCATTCTTGCAATGACTCATTGGTACAATGAACATAAACTCTGATTCACACTTCAAGGACAAACCTGAAATAATCATGCCTTTATATTCGTCCTGTTATTGACTTTTAATAGCTATCCAAGTAGCAATTATATAACACATGACAAAACACGTCGTTACCCAGCCCTATCTAACTTGCTGAATTCAGAATCATGACTCTAAAGGTCTGTAATACATTTGGATAAAATGAGTGGAAGAATAATTTCTTCCATGTATGACTCCTAGTTCTTAGTGTCTTATCTACAGATGTAATCACAAGCAAAAGGAAAAGATACGGTCACAGTGTTTTTTTGTAACAGTAACAAATCTACTTGCTACACAAAACTCACACATCCTTCTGTAGTACCCATATTCCTACAGCAACCTGTCAGTTCCATGGAAAAAAATCATACAGCTAAAAATCACGTCCTTTGGTTGCTGTTGCAGGGTGTCATGATCAGTGGAATCCAGTCACGAAGATGCTACACAAAACTTACTCCAAAAGAGATGACCGCAGGTTTTTCATTACCATGTTGAAGACTACTAAAATACATTTCACTGCTTGCACAAGACTCCCTAATAATTATTTCCTGCCTCCAAGACCAAAAAGACTATTTTAAATTATAGTTTATTTTAAATTTCAAAAATATTTTAACATGTTAAGAATAAAGACTATACTTGATTTCCTTTGACCTTAACCACATCAAAATCCTAATGGATTTTGCAGAGGAGTGAATAGTGGAACACATTAATCCAACTGGAATCAAACTTCATTTATATATTTGGGAAGAAATCAGAAAAAGAGTAAATATCATTATCTTAATGTCTGACAACATGTTTTCCTGAAACCTTGAATATATTTTAGCCCTTTTTGATACAGAAATGATATAGCAATATTGGTTATGACACTGTACTACTGTAAAGAGAGGCTAGCTTAAAATGATCTATTTCTTTCTTTTTTTTTTGTTTGAGAATTAGAGGTTTTCTCAATCTTCTTTTCCCATTAGATATACTAATGCATTTAAGAATTAGGGGTATAGCTTTACTAAAGACAAAACTCTCTCTGCCTTGATGTTCATGATGCAGCAGTGCTGATAAATAGTAAACTCCCAAGTTTCTTGGGGTCTTAAGTTTTCATTAGACACTTTCACAGAGAAAGAAGAAATTAAGTCTATGTCTCATTACATATGCCTACCATTAATGAAGATGAGCTCTTCCTTAGGACTTCCACACTCAAATTTCAGTCTCAAATTTCAGTCTCAAATTTCCACTGCTTTTCAACGCTTCTATTACACTTTTCTCTAATTAACGTAGAAATACTGCACAACAGATGGGCACTACACAAAAGTGAGGATGCTGGGTGTCAAACATTGTACACAGGCAGACTTTATACAAAAAAATCCCAAACAAAACAGTCTATCTGCCTTAGTTCCTTCATCAAATGTATCTGATTTCATCAAAACACAGCATCACTTTTGCTGACTATGACCCAAGCTCCCAAAACCTACACTGAATGGCATAAATTACGACAGGCTTGGACCGTAGGCAGTAATAGGATATTTTATTAGATCAAATCACAGTTGGGGAAGAAAGATGAGATTTTCATTTTGCCTGGGATGAAAGTTACATCTGAAGTTAAAAGGGTCATCCCATGCAGCACTTTTAAATACCGATGTAAAGTAAAGCTGTTTCCTTAGTTCTCTGGCACATCCCCAAAAGTTACAGATTTGTTAGGGAACTTCATCAGATTTGTTAAACAATGCCAAGGCAAACAGAAACCCAACCCACTCGTCCAAGTTTTTGCTGCTCATGTCATACACACTCACCCAGCCACTTTGTGTTGATTTAACCAAACGGTGTATACAGTACAAGCAACCTCTACTTTAACTGGGTTAGAAATGTTACCACCGACAATACCCAGACAAGAAGTAAGTCTAAAATCCCCTAAAACTGTTTACACACCCTAAAAAAATCCCCTAAAACTGTTACTCAAAGCTCAGAGGGCCTCACTCTATACCTTACCCAGTTGTAACAGCTATGATCATTTAAGGAAAAGAAATAATATCCACAAAAAAACAACTTTAATTTTTGTCCTTGTGTTGTTTGCACATGTACACCACTTCTTATTTGTAAAATCTTTACATACAGCTATTACCCTGATATCTGATTCCTTTTAAATACAGAAATGCGTATTTCTTTTATTTAAACTTCCTTTTTGTCATCTCCTCTTCATTTTTACAAAAAGGTGCAGCTCTACTTAAGAACCAGACTTTTAAGAGAACTATCGACCATCAAAACTGCAGAAGGGGCGCAGAAGTTAAACTGAAAAACGCACAGAAAAACACGCGCGCAGGCCGATCTGTGTTGCTTTTGCAACAGCAGACACTAATCTGCCACAAACTGACCCGATCAGCTTTCACGCCAAGCAGGCAGTTCACCTACGATGAAAGGTTTTCATGTCTGCAATGGTAAATAAGCTCACTTACAGGATGCTGACCCTGGTCAGCTTCCCGCTAACTGCATTCACCGAGCTCAGACCACTCAAAACAAATCTCCAGGCACTCCGCTGCCTCACAGCGAGAACCAAGAAGCGTAAAACCACAATCAAAGCGGCAGCGGAGGTCCTCAGCGGGGGTTTACTCCGGCCCCCCGCAGAGCCCCGAGCAGAAGCCCCAGCAGGTGCCACAGGCGTCCCAGCAGCCGGGACGATGCGGGGACAAACACGCTGTGCTGACAACGGAGACAGCCCGCAGCCACAACAGCACTGCGAGTGCAGGGAAACCACCCAGCGTACGTTTCCCTGCGTTACACACAGGTGGGGCGTAAACTTAGGAAGCAGTGGCACGCACACCATCACACCACCATGCCTGCAATGTACGGTATCAGTGTGCAGCCCCTGCTACCCAGTCCCATCCAGAAAACTCACTGCACCCAGGAAAGCGCTCAAGCGAAAACAAGAAATGCAGAAAGAATCAACTGACCTGTTGCATGGAGTATAGCTACCCCTAGGTAACAGAGCTACATTTATTTAGGTGGAGAAAAACACAGTCACAAATCATAATATATGTGGTATTTCAGCATTTTAAAACAGAAAAAAGGTCATCTCTATTGTTCAAGAAAATTAAAATGTTGCCTGAACAGGCAAATTACGCTGCAAAACACATGGAAACTTTCATCAAAGCTTATATTCTAAAGTCTCGATACAGATAGAACCTCAGGTGTAAAATGATCCCATTCAAATGTACAGATATACTAAGAAATGTGCCAATTTACAGTATCTAAGGCTTCCTTATAATATGACATTTTCATTGCCATTGCTCATCACTGCAAATACTGATCCTAGTTAAGTGCTAGCTATACCATGACCTTATAAAACGGTAAGACTTTTTTTTGTTACAGGCCCTGTTTTCTACTCACTCCTTACACACCATGTAAATCACCTCCTAAGACTTCTACGGAAACAAAAATACAAACCACGCTTAAAACACATCACTCTTCAAAATGCCTTCTTAAAAATCACAGGACTGACCATATGATAAGGTTATTTGCCTATTGCCTGACTGACAACTGTGTTCTGATACAACCTTGTCTAACAAAAACCCCTCTGTTTAGCACTTTTGTGCTCAGACTCAAATCCACTTTGCATCAATTGCTGAAAGAAAACAATGGAAATTTTGGCCCAAGTAGAGAGATTTGCAGGATACTAAGTAAGTAGCTGCCTAAATGCTAATTGATGATGTGGGATGGATTTCAGAAGTGTATGTATGTTTACAAAAAAAAAAAAAAAAGTGAAAGAGATGGCCAGCAGATGTTTCTGCCGTGTTAGGCTATTCATGTTATAACGCACATTCATACAGAATTTCAGTAAATAACACCAATCCAACGACAGAACAGTATATAAAAGAAAACTTACTGCTGCCCTTGTGGTACTGAAGAGGGGGAAAAAAAAAAAATCTATTCAGAATCATATGCCCAAAAGGAAAGTTGACTGAAAACTATTTTTCAGTTTATACAAAGTTATATAAACCAAAGTAAGATGCTCCTTCTTCAAACAGAGGTCTGCTACCCTGCTTAAGAGAACTACTCACTACTTTCCATGTGTATGCACCTAGTGGTTCTTAAGACCCTGGCTTAACACAAAGGCTATTTGGTGGACTTGCTTTGTCTTCACTTAAGCCACCAATATCACTTGGGATACACTAATAAATTAATGTAGTCAGCAGCCTAAGTTAAACAGTGCCCACCAAGCCCATGCTTGGATTCAACATCTAGAATAGATGAAATTGCATTATACTAAAAAGAAGGGGAAAAAAGTCTCATTCAAATGCACCCTGAAATGCTGAATTTTAAACATTGGATTTTAAAAAAACCTACATGTTGGGTGAGATTGTTCACTACACTTCTAAGCTCAGTAGCACAAGGTACACAGTCCAGAAGGTTGAGGAAGGTTGCTTCAGGCCTTGCTGCTGGAAAAGCACAAACAGTAACTTAAACCTGGCAGCAAGCCTATGCTGCCTCTCCTTCCCCAGAGCCTCACCTCCACGCTGCAGGCTTTCTTCATCTACTTCACTCCTGCATCCAGCCTTACTACACTTCTTAAGACCTATCTTGAAAAAAACCCTTGGAAAGAAGATGCCTTCTCGTGTCCCTGTGGTTTAGAGAGCCTGGGAAGGAATAAAGCAAAGATCTCACCCACTGTACATACAGGAGGCAGGCTCACAGTCCACTCCCCGTAGTTTAACAAGCCACCATTTCCAAATGAACACAACATTTGTGCATGCGCTCATCCTTTTGAATATGTTATGAACCAACCTAAACGCAGTTTATCATGTTACTGGAGTTGTTGCAACTACCCCAACAAACACAGTAACTTGTGAGCTCACAGCAATTCGACCAGTAGTGAGAGCTCCATTTCAAAACCAAATTAAAACCGGTATTCCCTCTCTCTATCAACTTCTTATAAATGATCGCTTTCATTAAAAAAACGCATAATGTCAAGGAAAACTTGGTTTCGTTTTCACAAAATAATTAGTGTCTACTTTGTTTTGTCCTCTCCACCCCCTTAATTATAACCCTCTTCCATCCCTCCCACTGCCCAGTTTCTTCTTCCCTTTACTTCTCCAACTCTGCAAGTCATTATTATTTACTTTCCACTACTCTGATGCACATATGTGCACACGTATGTATTCACCTACCCATTTTTCTTCATTTCTTAACATCTAGATTTACCGTTCAGCTGCCTCACTGCTGTCTCCTTTAGACCTCCTCCCCTCCTATGGGGGATATATAACGTTGAATATATTTAATTTTAGCTATTAGGTGACTCAAGAAACTACACGTGACAGTAAGGACTACCCCGTATTTCTGTACTTTGAAAGTCTGTAAGTTAGACAGTGTGACGACACAATGTAATTATGTATATTCTAATCAGACATACCTTTAAAAATATCAGCATTTCTGACTGTATATAAAAAATGCATATTGGCAGTTTCAGGCAACTAACACAATCATGTGTTGGATATTAAAATCAGATATTAGAATTTACAGCTATCTCTGAAGATATGTTATTAATTTTCTCCTCAATCGCTCAGTAATTTGACGTAATCATTGCCAAGGTTATTAAAAACAAACACAAAATCCGCTGACTGTATTTATTCCAATATAATTTTAGAAGAAAAAAGGAAGAACTTGCAATAAATAATTGCATGAACAGGGCAGGCACTGTCTCTTTAGAACTCTGCAATTTCTTTTTCAGAGGTTGAATTTCCGAAATTCAGAGGCCTGCACTTTGTACCACTCATGCGAACAAATCTGGGCCTCTTGACTTACAGTTTTTTGATATATAAGAACAATATTGGGCTGGAGGGTGAATTGGATTTCACATAACAGAAAGAGTGCAAGTGCAACAGAAAAATAACAGTAGGTTCTTGAAAATAAATATGAAAATAAATCACAGCAAGGAGGACCAGCCCACGGCACAGTCCAAGTGAAGCTGTTCATGATACTACTGCACAGATTCACTCAGTAGGTTTGATTGAAGCAGCTGAAGTCAAGACAAGTTCCACTGACATGAGCAGGCTTCATTCAGGCCACTATGTGAAGTCCTTCTGATCCCTCTTCCTTTCATCCAGGCTGAGAATCCTCCCCATTTCACTGAACTGTACTGTTTCCCATTTCTCTAAGACTCTGTGTCTGCACCCACCCCCCAGAGTTATTTTTTAATCAGTCCCATCTATGCCTGCCTCAAGCCAATAAAATTTATAGAGTCTCTGCACCCCTCCTGGAATGGGCAGGGGCAAAGCCCATCGAGTATATTAGTGTTAATGGAACGGCAGTGGATTGAGGAGAGGGTCAGGAACTCTGGGAACATTAGAGTAATTGAAGCAGCAAAAACATACATACACAGCTAAAACGTAAGGGAAATTATTTACTTTTGCTTATTTAAGCTGTGCATAGGGAGTATGAAGCTTTTTCATGCAAATTATTTACAGGCCAAATATAGCATAAGACATATTTAACATTGAAGCACAGGTCCAAAATTTTATTATCTAGTGTTCAGACCTCATGGACAGTCAGAATATCTGCTAACACAAAATCTTCAAAAGCAAACCCCACCTTCACGGAGCCTGCCATTACTGGATTTAAGTATTTACTATGCTTTGAACTAGTGCTTCAACATTTTTTACTGGTGTGTATGTGACAATGTTGACAGGACTTTCTATCAGTTCAGGATACTAACTACAGTGACTAAAACATTATCAGACTATGTTGGCCAAATGTTTGAAAGCAAGAAATCTCCCGTTGCTTCAATTTCCTTCAAATACTTTATATTTTCCTTTGGGGAAGTAACTTGTGTTTTATCATAATGATTTCTATTTGCTTCTGGAGCATGAGTCATGCTCTTCAATTATTTTCAGTTGATTGTGTAATTATTAGCGAGAATGGGGTTTGGCTAGTCTTTATTAAGGTTGAGCTTTTTTAATAAGAATTTCTGCTTACCTTCAGGTGAAGTACCTGGCTTTTGAGAAAACGCAGAGCTTATTTTACTCTTCTTGCTGCTGTTGCTGTTGACAGATAAGGTGGACTGAATTTTTCTGTGCATTTTTGCTGAAACAGGAGCCGAAAGTTTTCTGTTGTCTGCAGGTGCATGCTTGACCCCGTTGTGAATTCCACTTCCATTACTCAGACCCACGTGGCCGTTTTGGATTTTGTCACTTTCTTCCTCACTCCTTTCCAGTGCTGAAGTATTTGGCTGAGGCAAACGTTGAGGTTGTGCTTAAAATGAAAGAAAGAAAGGGTTAATTCAAATTGTAAATTGATAACTAAACCCTTTAGGCTAAGACTGGGAAGGCAACTTTCATAGCTCATATTGATCAGAATAGACTGAGTTCCGCCATCAAAAAAGAAAGCAAAAGATTTCTCTAGACTGAAAATAATTATCAGGTATTCAGAAAGCACCTTGTGTCTGCATGAGACCTAGATTCCCCTTCGTCCCTGCATGGAAATGTTCACAATGCTCTGTGAATCAGATGGAGAGAATGAGGCAAGTAATTTGAAGAAGGAAAAAATCAGGAATGGGAGAAAAAGTAGCAAAACCGAGATAAACTTGGGTTAAGGGAGCCAAATGAAGAATGGGGGGAAATGCAACAGAAAGAGAGAAAAAGGTATGGGAGAGAAGATACAGACTGCAGCAACAGCAGTGAACCTGCAGGTTGGCCAACCTGCCTGTCTTCAGAAAATAACCTGAGTGACAATGCAGGGACCCCCTGACAACGAGCCACCACAGACCAGTATATTGGAGAAGAATAGGAGCATCCAGGCAACCAACAACAGTTTGAGCTTAAATTTATCAAGATTGCAGATTGCTGGGAACAACAAAACCGATCAAAATCTGGTTTTGTGGAGGAGGTGATCCAGTAACCAGAAGGGACGTGCGTTCAAACACTGCACAGCTGTGGCAAACCAGAGTCCCCTCCCGCCACCCATATTCCTCAATTCAGAATCACAATTTTAAAAATGGCTGTAACGGGCCAGTTAGGGCTTCAATGGCAACAAACTGAAATGGTCGAAGGAAAAAAATACTAAACCTGCCAAGGCAGGAATCTGTGGTGGCCTGGTTAAGACTCCAAGAGCACATTCTAATGAGAGGGCACAAAACGTAACCATTCTTTGTTGAGCTACCATATCATAAAGGAGCATATTTTTAATAACATGGAAAATACATTGTTTATGTATTTAAAATCTGCATTGAAAGCAAAGATGTAAGATTTTTTTATGTAAAGCTTTGTAATAATAAATGTAGTTTCTAATTGAAGATTCTTACTTAGAAAAAAAATGCATACTTCGTTTGAAAACTAATTAAATCATACACATAGTAACACAACAAGATTTCATAATCAAAAAGCATCAGCCCAATCACCGCTCCTAATCAAAACACTCCTGTCTCATGCTTGGACACAAAGAGGTTTTCAGACAGTCCAGTCTCAACTATATATAAATCTAATGTCAGGTAAAAAGCCCAGATTCTACTGAACACTCAGCTGATGAGAGATTAGACGGTGCCAGCAGTAAAGGAAAACAGTGCTGCAGTTCATTATCTTTTCAGATGATTCACATCCATTTTCAGATAGTTTCACAGTACAGCTTCATATACAGATTACACTGTGTCCAAGATAACAATATGTATAGATAATCATAGTTAGCTTCCTCTAAAAGAAACACTTCCACTGATCACTTCAGGTGCAAGTGACCAAACTTTTGGACAAATACTACTGGGACACACAGACCAACATGGTCTCTAAAAAGACTCTCAGTTCTGACTTTACCTAAGAAATCCTCAATGCTTCCCTTTTATCGACACCGATATCGTTCTCCAATTGCTTCCTCCCACTGTCATAAACTTGTCCAGAGTAAACTTCAGATAAATCTTGAACTTTAACTCCTGGTCACGGGCACAGGAAAAAAAGGATACTTTCTGTAATAGTTTAAATATGAACTGGTTCATTTTTTCTTGTCATTTGATTTTTTTAGTCATAGCAACTAAGATTTTTAAGAAGATAACCTACACTACCCTCATCTATATCCAGTTCAGAGTAACCCTGACTGAATCTACTTTACAAAAGCGATAACTCTGTGTTGCAGGAAGGGGAAGGCTGGGGGAAGCACTTATGCGTTAGCCTCCCCAAAGATACTGCAGGGAAGACAAAGATTGTTCCCTTCCATTACTAGCCGTAACTGCTCACCAATCTCCAAACCAAGAGAGCAGAAGCACAACACTATCTGACACCTGAACAACGAACTGCAGCCCAGAAAGTTTTCGATGGCAATACAGAAACTGCTTCTCCTTTCACTTTTGCACTAGTGCTTGCAAAACCTACAAACAGAAGCACAAGCCAGGCACTTTCCGCATGCTGCAATTCCACTTGTGGCATATATTCTGCTAACATTTCCAAACTATCATAAAAGCCCCAAAACAATTTTTTTAGGGAGTTTTCTCCTATCTGAAACAGGATTCTTTAAAAGTATACTACCAGGAACCCTTTGTGTAGTAAATCGTTTCACATACGTGCAAAACAAATTTTGTTCGAAAACTAACCAAATCCTTCCATTTTAAGAATAGTCAATGTAGATGTAACTACAGTCAAAAATAAAATCTTTAGCAACAACAGGAAACAAAATTTTTACCCTCTAAATTTCAGTGTTCATACCCATAGCTCCCCATAGTTTTGTTTTCATTGTCCCACTCAAATGTAAATTGTACTGTTAAGAAGGGTATTTTTCACATTGCATCTAAACATTGCACATCATGACACTTCCTCACAACACACCCCTGCCTACAATTCCCAACTGCATAGTTGTGCAGTTGCACCAATAACCTAGAATTACTGGGGAGGGGTTAAGCTTCCCCAGTAAATAAAAGCAACAGACTATACTAAAAATTCTGTATGTCTGGACAGACAAGTTTCTAAAACTGACAGTTATGACCTTTTCCAAGACAGCTAAATTGGTGGTGGCAGCTTACCATTGTTTGCATATTTTTGGTGCTTTGCTACAATACAGTAACTTGACAAATTACCCAAAATTCCATCTTCAAAATTAGGTGTCAACCTGTGGGTGAACGGAAGTCTAGGGGAATCTAAACAGTCATTTATGTTTGCTTCTATGATTATTTTTACTATGCTTTTTTTTAAGAGAGGAGGTGGTTTGCCTTTTTTTTTTTTAAATAATCCTGTTCCCAAAGTACTCTTACTTCAGTCTTATAGCATTAACATACAACTTTTTAGCTAACTGGCTTTGCAGTATTCACATGTGATACGCAGGTCATATCAAAATGGAATAAAACCCCAAATGGATTAGTTATCTCAATTTAAATTTATTTTAACTTTATTGATAATTTTGCACTAGGGAGACTTGAATCTTATGGTTAAAATACACTTGAAACCAATTAGGAACCATATGACCGCATTCTAGCATAAAGAACAAAAGCAATTGACAGTTCCAAGACAAAGCCACAACCATTCAGTTTAAAACAGAAATATTTTTACCTTATTTTTTAAAGGTTGTGTATATCTTACAAAAAAAAGGTGTAATATAAGGAACGACACAATGCTTCTTAAAACACAGTGATACCCAGGGACTCTCACTCTCTCTTTAATGATCCACTGCTCTCATTCAGCTGTCTTTCTTTTTTCAAATCTTTACATATGTGACAGCTCTCAAAAGTAGACCATAGACCATCTGGCATTTTCAGAGGTGTAACTTGTGCAAATTCAGCTCTACTGGGAACACAATGCTATCTTCTGCCTGCGTTATAAAAGATACAATAGAATGTAGAACTTAGAGTTGTTTTGAATTATTCATTTTTTGCCTGTATATTCAAGAAATTTTACAAACTCTGCATTTTGTACTACATAATCACATGCGTTGAAGGTACAAAGAAACTTTTTGACACCTCTTTTCTACAGAAAGATGGCATTTTGTTTGATATGTGAACATTGAGCGCCTGTTATATCATTCTAAACAGGCCGTGTGCTGCTACAAAAGATCCCATTTTACACTCTATGTATGAGCAAAAATTTTATTCTTGATATTCAGTAACTAATGCAATACACATCAAAATTTCAAATATGAGTTGGATGAACATTCAGCATCTTCAAATCAGGACGGCACTGGTCACTTACTATACATTAAAGATTTAAAAAAAAAATATCCTCACACAACACAGAAATATTGTCATTTCAAACATCCACAATGAGTAGTTTCAAATGTCCTAAGAAATACTGTGCTTTTTAGGTTAATATGTTTTTAATCTTTAGCAAAACCAGTAGATTTAAGTCAATATTACACAGAGTGCTAACACTAGTGGATTTTCAATAAGAATGATAAATATTGGATTAATGATTCAATAGACTGAATCTTTTTTGATAGAAAACTAGCAGATAATGTAGCTAGTAATAACTATACATGAATCTGCTGCCTGTGGAAAAGCAATAAAAAGGCAAAATATTGCTATAGCACATAATCTATTAGCGTGTTTCACTGCTTACTTGTCATTGGTTTCCTTGCAAAGTGGGCCTTAATACAATAACTTCTGCTGTTATTTAACTGACTTTACATAATGATTTAATTGTGAGGTTACAGTCTGGTGAATATATATTCGAGCACTAAACATTCACAATGGTTTTGACGGTTTTGAGGTAACTATGCACGCTCTCATCCAGGCTGTAAAATCCTTAGCACAGTTTAAATGAATATGCCTGTACATACACACCCTGACAACGCATTGTTTACACCTTGCGAAACAACAGCTACTCTTAGGCGAAAAACCCCGATGTGTGCATTTCACAGAAAAATGTATGTCAACACAGGGAAAGCCTCAACCAAAAGAGGACAGTCTAAGCTACATTAGGGATTTTAGACAAAAAACAAAACCAAACATACACAGAATACAGACTCCTTGGAGTCACAGTGAATCAAAAGAAAACATCAGGAGGGAGAGAAGAACTGAGACAGCTAATTAGTAGCCTAATCATATCAAAAGCAATTCCACGGCAGCTGACACAGATGCCCGTGGAGTTTGCTAGGCTGGCCAACGCCACCGATGGAAAAAATACTTTCCACTTCACAGCCTGGGTCATCGGACTGCATACCCAGAGAGGCAAGAACGCTGTTTTTCTTCGTTTATGACACAATAGTTTATGACATCAGATCAGGCCACAATATTTTTGCAGGTGGACTAGGGAGGAATAAAAATACATGACTCCCGGGTATAAAAA